AAATATAACATAATGCAATTTATATTGTAAATGTTATAAATAATTTTAACAACATTATTTTAAAACAAGTTTTGTGTATAGACTGGAAAAATAAATATATGTATTGATATAACACAAACATGACGCAATTAAGATATAAAGTGTATTCTTATCTTTCAAACATTTTTTTATTGATTCCAGTATCTAACATGCCCAAGGTTTAGGGTCTCTGTATTACAAGAAAAGTGATTGATGTGTTACATCATGTGCACAGAAACTTGTATAAATAATCAAGAATTTTTTTCATAATTAATATTAATAAAATATTTTAACTAATTCCATGAAGTAGAGTTCTTAAAAAAGGTGATTATCACTGAACTATTGAACCCAAATACTCTTTTAACGTTTTCACAGAGTCAATCTCTGCACCCTGTCCTGAGTCAGTTTAACCAAGTCCACACATTTACACTGATATATACAATATTATTCCATTTCTTATGCATTCCACTTTTGCACGGTTAGCACCGTCGTGTGTGGGACCATCGTATCATACCCATTCCTTTTAATGGATTTATCATTAGTCATTCTTATCTATAAGCAACTACTATTGCAAATGCAAAGCCTGTGACACAGTGCAGATACTGTTCCAGTTAACAGAGTAACAAATGCTCTAAACGCAAGATACTGCGAATAGAAAAGTTTAAATTTGGAGCAGTAAAAGAGCGAATTCATTCCTTGTTTTCAGCTATGTACAAATCATTCTAATTTCTTCTCTTAAAATGCTGTGTAGCATAAGGAATGCATTTAAGTTTGAAACCCATGAATGAAGTTCCATGTATTTGTCACGACAGTTTGAAAGGTATAAAGACAAAGCTCAGAAATTCACAATTTCTCGTCACCAGGTATCACGACTGGCTGGAGCGCTGGCCAAGATGGGTGTCTCTCGTGGAGACAGAGTTCTTGTCTACATGCCTATGATACCCGAGGCCATTATAGCCATGCTGGCAACTGTCAGACTTGGAGCTATACATTCTGTGGTGTTTGGTGGTATGTTCTCTTTTACTTGTTTTATTGTGTACAAGGTTAAGTCAGAAATTTTAGATACAAGATACATAACAAGGAACTTTGTGGTTTGTATACACTTTGAACTGTCCACCAAATATCATAATCATTATCAAGGAGAATCAATTAAACTTGGCATAGTATACATATGTGAGAGTTGAAAATATTCATCACAATTTTAGTAGGAAAACCCGAAAGAAAAAAGCAATTTGGGACGCCAAGGTGTGGATGGAAGAAAATAACAAGTTATAAAATGTATGCAAGTGTAACAAATGTAACATGTTCGCCAGAATTTGACCTGTCTGCTGAATGTCTGACAGTAATTACGTCATAATGGATGCACTATAATACTAACTAACTAACTAGATGGCTTACCGAACCCGAAGGTTCATCACCGAGTTAAAAAAGGCCTTCCACCGGACCCCTGTCCTGGGCCAACAAAATTCAGTCTACTTCAACTCTTATCTCCCATAGATCCCGCCTGACATTATCCTCCCATCTACGTCTAGGTCTCCCCAGCGGTCTCTTCCCTTCAGGTTTCCCAACCAGTACCCGGTGCACACCTCTTGTCCCATCCATGCGCGCTACATGCCCCTCAAACACCTGCAGTCTATGCTCCTCCCGCAGAGTGAAAGACCATGTTTCGCACCCATACAAAACAGCAGGCAAAATTATTGTTTTGTATACTTTAATTTTCAGGTTCTTAGAAATCAGACGGGAAGACAAAATATTTTGAACAGAGAAGTAGCAAGCATTTCAGGGATTTAGTCTCCTCCTAACTTCCTTATGAGTATCATTTTGATTTGTTATTGTTGTTCCCAAATATTTGAACTTTGTAACACTTTCAAAGGATTTATTGGCCACCCTAAGATAATTCTGCCCGCCTGTCTGCTGACGAGATACTAACATGTATTTAGTTTTTTTCTGAATTTACTTCTAGACCCACCTGTTTACTAGCCTCTAGTAAAACGTCTGTGTTCCTCATTGTATTTATGTCGTCTCCCAATAAATTAACATCACCAGCATATGCCGATAACTGATGTGTCCCATTCAACTGCAAACCTTCCTGCCTATCTTGGACTTTCCTGATGGCATATTCTAGCGCAAAGTTAAAGAGCAAGGGAGACAAAGCATCTCCTTGTTTTAGACCGTTCTTGATGAGGAATGTCTCAGATACATATTTACCTACTCGAATTCCTGAAGTATAGTTTCTTTGTTGTAGGTTTCGCAGCACGTGAGGTTCGGGCACGCATAGAACATGCAGAACCTAAAGTCATTATTGTAGCTAGTTCTGGTTACGAGCCCAACAGAATTGTAAGGTAAGAAATAGCAATAAGTAACACAATGAATTACGGTCAGAACTATGTACAGGTAAGTCAAAAGTAGCTGCACATCTTTGGAGAACTGTAACCGTGTAATGTGTGTTCTGGTTCGAACAAACGAATCCTCTTCCGTAATTCTCTAAGATCGTTGGGTAAGGGTGGGTGATAAACATGATCCTTAGTGTATCCACGCAGGAAAAGATATGCTGGTGTGAGATCCTGTGAACGAGGTGGCCAAGCGATTGGACATGCTCGGTTAATCCACCGACCTGAGAAATGGAGATCCAAATATGCTCAACATCTGGACAGAAGTGAGGAGGTGCACCATCTTGCTAAAATTAAGTTGCACTCTTCGTTTCTTCGAACGAGAACACGCATTGTGCTCTTTCCTCGAGAATATAAGTCTCCATTTTCATTTCCACAGTTCAGAAGCGTTCTCAGCGGCATTGTAAAGTACTACAACAAACAAACAAACAAAACTTGATGATACACACTAAAGATATCTGCTGATATCAGCATATTTTCGTAGCACGTAAAACGGTTACAATTCTCCAAAGACATGCTGCTACTTTTGACATACTCTTTATTGTCTCACTGGACATGACAATGAATTAACCATTACTTCAACTCGATATGTATATGGCCATTCACAGATTAACCGTTCAGTACAAAATTGCATGCATATAAATGACCTTGAAATATCAAACGCCACTGTTCGGCATACTCTAGGGTAGATATAGGCGTGTCCTTGTCATAAATATGACCTAACCTAATACAACCTACAAAAAAGTAAAACATTACAACAAAGACCGAGACCGTCAAAGACCGTGTGAGGCAGAAACCGAGTTCGGCGTAGATCGTGTGAGGATGAGACTGAGTCCGGCAGAGACCGGTTGAGGTAGAGACCCAGCCATGCAGAGGCAAGGTGTGGTAGAGCCTGGACCCGCAGAGATCGACTCTGCTAGATATCGGTTAGGCAAAATTTTGAAAAAAATTTCAAAATTTTCAAAATATCAAATATTGTTGGAAACTGTCTGAACGGCGCACAAAACCAAAAAAATTGACGAAACAATTTAATTTTTTTTTAAATTAATATTTTTAAAAAAATAGTTTTATGCGCTTTTTGGACAATTTCCAGCATTTTTTAATTTTTCGAAAAATCTGAAATTTTTCAAAATTCTTCCTAACCATTTCTTCCAGAATCGGTTTCTGTCGAATACCGCCTCTGCAGTACCGTGTAACTGACGGACTCTGCCTCAGCAAGACTCTCTGCTAGAAATTTTCTCTGTATGACACGAACACTGCAGGGCCCTCCTTGCAAAGACCGAGCCCGTCAGAGACCATGTGAGGCAGAAACCGAGTACGGCGTAGATCGTGTGAAGATGACACTAATTGCGGCGGAGATCGGATGAAATAGAGACCGAGCCATGCAGAGACCACGTGTAGTAGATCCTGGTCCCGCAGAGATCGATTCTACAGCCGTGTATCGACTGCGCGCGGCTGCCGCGCGCAGCTGTTCGTGCGCGGCAAACTCGTTCGTTCGTTTATTGTTTAAATCCGTGTTCGAGGTTACCAGCATCGAGCGCGGCAGCCGTGTTCGGCTGTTGATCGAAGCTGTTCGTCAGTTCTCGCAAGATCACCATGAATACAGCACGTGCAACGGCTGCCTTTATGTTGATGTTCAACATTATGGAAGCAAATAAGAAACCGAAACGAAAAGTGCGTTGGTGGATTAAGGAATTGTATCGTCAGCGAGTGCAATATGGAAATATGACATTTGAATTAGTGGAGGATACAGTTAAAAAATTTACTCGAACGTCATTATCGGATTTCGAACACATAACCTCATTGATCGAGCCAAGAGTTTACTTTTGTTATGGTAATTAAAATTTTTTGAATTTCACAACACCTCTTTAGATTTATTAATATGTATGAGAGCTACACACATTTCATTCTCCATTTTGCTACGACGGAACGCCACAAGACTGTCTCAACTGAGAGAGAACAGCACGCTGAAATCCCATTGCCGCGGGACAAAGAACCGCTCCAATTTGGCTCGACGCGCGCCAAGTTCGAGAGCGACAGTGTTCGTTCTGCCAAGCGTGGCAACATGGTATCGAATTTGCGCGCAAAGCAACGAACAAAGCCTCGCGCAGCAGCCGCGCACAGTCGATACACGCCTTACTAGATATCTATTAAGCAAAATTTTGAACAAGAAAAAAACTGTCTGAACGGCGCACAAAACAAATTTTTTGAAAAATTCCACTTTCAAAATTTTTCAAAATTTTCAAATTTGGTTTTGTGAGCTTTTCAGATAATTTCCAGCAATTTTCGATTTTTCGAAAATTTTCAAATTTTTCTAAACACTCCGCAAGAGATGCATGACAGCCTCGGTGAATGCCACATTATGTCTCTGCCAGACTCGGTCTCTGTCTCTCCCAATTGCTGGCTAATTCGGTGTCTGCAACAACCGGCCTTTGCAGGACTCGTATGTGACCGACCATGTCTATGCCCGTCTCGATCTCTGCTTTACGTGTTGACTGCAATACCTGGGATTCTCGGAGACGGCACGTCAGAGACCGTGTCAGGCCCAGACCGCGTCCGTTAGACACATAGTACATCCGAGACAGTGCGAGAGCGAACGGTTCTGCTTGCATCAGTTGGGGAGAATTTTGAAAGAAATTTCGAAAATTTTGAAAAACCAAAAAATGCTGGAAATTGTCTGAAAAGCGCATAAAACAAATTTTTTTGAAAAATTCCACCTTAACCATTTTTTTCAATATTTTCAAAAAATTTCGGATTTGTGCGCTTTACAGACAATTTCCAGAATTTTTTGTTTTTTCGAAAATTTTCAATTTTTTTCTAAATTCTCCCCAAGAGATGCATGCCAGCCTCGGTGAATGCCTCATTCTGTCTCTGCCAGACTCGGTCTCCATCGCTCCCAATTGCTAGCTGCCTCGGTGTCTGCACCAACCGCTATTTGCAGGAGTCGTATGAGACCGACCGTGTCTATGCCCGTCTCGATCTTTGCGTTACGTGTTGACTGCAGTACCTGGGCTTCTCAAAGACCGTGTGAGGCCCAGACCGAGTTCGTTAGAGACACAGTACATCCGAGATAGTGCGACAGCGACCGGTTTTGCTTGCATCAGTTGGGGAGAATTTTGAAAGTAATTTTGAAAATTCTCGAAAAATCAAAAAATGCTGGAAATTGTCTGAAAAGCGCATAAAACAAAATTGTTTTGAAAAATTCCACTTTAAATTTTTTTCAAAATTTTCAATAAATTTCTAGCATTTTTTAATTTTTCGAAAAATTTGAAAATTTTCAAAAGTCTTCCCAATTATTTCTTCCAGAATCGGTTTCTGTCGAATACCGTCTCTGCAGTACCGTGTAACTGACGGACTCTGCCTCTGCAATACTCTCTGCTAGAAATTCTCTCTGTATGACACGAACACTGCAGGGCCCTCCTTGCAAAGACCGAGCCCGTCAGAGACCGTGTGAGGCAGAAACCGAGTCCGGCGTAGATCGTGGGGATGACACTAATTGCGGCAGAGACCGGGTGAGGTAGAGACTGAGACATGCAGAGACGAATTGTGGTAGAGCCTGGTCCCGCAGAGATCGGTTCTGCTAGATATCGGTTAGGGAATATTTTGAAAAAAAAATCAAATTTTTCAAGAAATCAATAATTGCTAGAAACTGTCTGAACGGCGCACAAAACCTAAAATTTTGAAAATGTTTTGAATTTGATATTTTTCAAAAAAATTTAGTTTTGTGCGCTTTTTGGACAGTTTCCAGCATTTTTTAATTTTTCGAATAATTTGAAATTTTTCAAAATTCTTCCCAACCAATTCCTTCAAGAATCGGTCTCTGTCGAACTCCGTCTGTGCAGTACCGTGTATTTGACGGACCCTCCTTGCAAAGACCGAGTCTGGCAGAGACGGGGTGAGGTAGAAACCGAGTCCGGCGTAGATGGGGTGACGAGGCCGGGTACGGCAGAGACTGGGTGAGGTAGAGACCGTGTTATGAAGAGACTGAGTGTGGTAAAGCCAGGTCCCAGGTCCGGCGGAGCCCGGTTCTGGTAGGCATCGGTTAGGGAGAATTTTTGAAAGAAAATTTCATAATCTTCAATAAATTTTAAAAATGCTGGAAATTGGCTAAATAGTGCACAAAACCAAAAATTTTCGAATTATTTTGAAAAAATTTAGTTTAAAATTTTCAACTTTTTAGCATTGTGCGCTTTTTGGACAATTTCCAGGGTTTTTTAATTTTTATAAAAAAATATTTTTTTTAATTCTTCGACTCGATGTCTGCCCGACACGGTCTCCTTAGGTTGATAAATACGTGACCTTCACCTAACAGTAACCTCAGGTTGAGTATGGCCATACTAGAGCTACATTTCAGCCGACATAAGCATGAAAAATGTATGACTTTAAATGACTTCGAAATTTGTTAGGACTCTTTGCCTAACCCTTGAGCTTATATTTCCGTGACCTTGCTATGACCTTGTAACCGTGACCTGATCCTGACATGCATATGGCCATTCGCAGGCCTATAGTTCTGCAGAAATTATCATGGCAAGTAATGGCTTTGAAATTCTCCTACAAATTTAAAAACCTCTTCGCCTCACCCTTGCTCTTATATTGTCGTGGTCTTGGGATGACCTTGGCCTAAAATGACCTCAACTTGACATCAGTATGGCTAGACCTATCAGTAGATATAAGTATAAGGGACCTTGAAATTTTGAAGGCCTCAATTCGATGAAACCTTGGGCTGATATTGTCGTAACTTTCACATGTCCTTGTCCTAAATGTGACAACTTGACATGATTATGGCCTTTCAAGTAATAATTTCTTGATTTTTTAACTAAAAGCAGATTAATTTATAGTTTTAAGTAAGTTAAATTTGACATGGTAACACTTTGTAAATGTTTTCAGATACAAGGATATTGTAAATGAAGCAATTGCCACCTCATCTGTTAAACCTCTCCACTGCATAATCTATCAGAGGTATAACATAGAAGTTGCAGAGCTTGATCCAGAGTATGACATGTTATGGGATGATGCATTGGTCATGAGCAACCCACACCCTTGTGTTCCAGTCGAAGCCAATGAACCTTTGTACATCCTTTACACTTCAGGAACAACAGGTAATTTTCTGTACTTGGCATGGAAATGACTAGCATGAACAAATGCCAGTTCATATATTTATTACATTATTTAATGACACTGCTTCTAATAAAAAAGTTGTGTAGCATAAAATGAATTACCTTTTTAAATTAATAGCCCAGAATTTGTATTTGGAGGGACTGTAGATTTCAAAAGACAACATGTCATGAAAGCTACTTGACCACAATATCTGGTCACAGAGCATAAGAACTTGCAGCTAATGAGTCTGACACTTGCAGTAATTCAAAACAAAGTATAAAATTGGTTTCTTATTATTTTATTTCATGCAAATACACGAGTACTGTATAGCCCAGTTCTTAACATACATCTGTATGCACCAAGAAATATGTGTAAATGAAACATGTTCTAGATCAACCAAAGGGCATCCAGCGTCCTGTGGGAGGCCACATTGCCACACTGGCATGGACAATGCATACCATTTATGGGATGGGGAAGAATGATGTGTGGTGGACAGCATCAGATATGGGCTGGGTGGTCGGACACTCATACATATGCTATGGTCCACTTACATATGGTATAACATCTGTCATGTATGAAGGAAAGCCTGACCGTACTCCTGATCCAGGAGCCTATTTCAGGTACTAAATTGACTCGCTTCAAGCTGTATTATTTACTTATAGTGCTAACTGCTGATAGAATAAGCTGAGGGTTTAACATCACTAATGCTGTAACTCTCCTTTTCTCTTTCTTCACTCATTATCACTTTAAAAATAACTGAGTGGTTTATGGGACAATGACACAAGTCCAAAATTAAACATTTTAAAGATCAAATATAAAACCTTCCAACATCTGAGCTAGTGAAAATTTCTTAATATATTTACTTTGTATCAGTGCACTAACATGTGTTGCAACATAGGAATATAGTTACAATTATCATCTATATTTGTAAGACTTGAGGTTCTCACAGCGGTGAATATGAAGATTTCTGTCTTCTGGGTTATTGCGCAATAACCCAGAAGACAGAAATCTTCATCATCTATATTTCCCACCCACTTTCTTCTAGACTAATGCAGTTTTTGCCAGAATGATATTACCCTATTATGAGTGCAGGTTAAACCTGTAAGATAGCAAGACTTACTAAAAATGACCTATTTAGGACTAATGTCATTTTCCCTTGAAACTCCTTGATTATTTTAAAGAATACATTTTCAATGCCTGACCATTACAACAGAATATTGTTGTATAAGTAACAGTTATTCTTGAAGTGCTAAGCACAAGTAAGAAATAATTCAGTATTTACAACCTGAAACAGCAAACTGGGATCTGATGATAATGTGGTGACCTTTCTTGCATGTGCCAGGGTAATTCATGAGCATGGAGTAAATGCAATGTTCACTGCTCCAACAGCATTACGTGTAATCAAGAGGGTAGATCCAGAAGTTAAATTTGGCTCCCAATATTCCAACAAATCGTAAGTATGATATTTTTATTGTAACTCAGACATTAGAAAACTAATTCCATTCCATTATGCAAGTTCTCTCTTTAGAGATATTACATTATCATAATTTTCATCAGTTCATGACATTGATCATTGGATCATAGACTTGATCAAAGAAAGATCAAAACATTCCTGTAAATTTGAAAATACTGCTACAAAAAACTGTGCATAAGCTCCTCGAAGTGCAAGGGCCTAAAACTAGGATGTTGAGTTCATCGTAGAGAATGTCTTATGGTTGCAACTAAAACGCCACACATCTGAATTAGCCTTCAGTTGCCACAATTGAGCAAATATGCATGTAGAAAACAGAACTTTTCTGTGGTGAATCCAACATCCCCTGTTCTCACCACCCATATTGAAGAGCACAAGCATACATTATCTTCATGGCAACCTCAAATTTCTGAGAATATTCTGATGCTACATTCTAATAATGAAAATTTTAGATTATGCACAAAATTAAGTCTGCCATTCAATTAGTTTTCTAATGAGATGATGTAAACATATTATAAATAAAAAAAAGTAAATGTAAAAACTAAAGCTGTCCCACTATATGCCATGTAGGCACTTGGGAGGAGAGGTGGTATAGCTCCTACTCATTCTTAACCTCGGCAATAGATGGGGGTGAGTGGTTAGCATCATGCCCTGGCCACGCTTTATCCCAAGGAAAAACCCCGGTACCCATTATATAGGAGGCTGAGTGGGCCCCAGAGCCGGTCTGGACACAGAGGTAAGAGGAAATATCCTCTGCCCCTGTCGGGGATCAAAATTCGGTAGTTCAGTCCATAGTCTATCATAATGACTGAGCTATCCTCACAGTAAATATATTATAATTTTCAAAAGTCTTCAAACAGAAATACAGCCAGGTAGCTCAATCAGTATATTTATTAAGCTATGGGTTGGACAACCGGGGGTTTTATTCCTGGCGCAGGAAAGAGATTTCTCACCTACGCTACTGCACTCAAACCTGGTCTGGGCCAACTCAGCTTCCTATCCAAGGTGTATAGAAAACTTTCCCTTGGGATAAAGGAGACAGGGCATAAAGCAAACTGTTCGCCTCGATCTAGTGCTGAGGTCAACAATGAGTGGAACTACAACTCCTCTCCCCCATATGCCTTTATAGCATGGTGGTTTTAAGAATCACAGAAACCATTGAATGTTGTATGTTTTATGAAAATGATTCCTGTTCATGACAATTATCCTGTGGAGCACCCAACAAATGACAGTCTTAAAACATTAATAAAACCATGAGTAGGGCAAGTGGAACGCATGGGAGAGATGAGAACTGCACATAAATTTTGGTTGGAAAACCTGAAGTTAAGAGACCACACGGAAGAACTTGGTACAGATGGGAAGACAATATTAAAGTGATATTAAAGAAATAGAGTGGTAGGATGTTGACTGGATTTATGTTACCGAGTCTAGACTAGTGGTGGGCTCTTGTGAACACAGTAATAAACCTTCCATAAAAAAGCAAGGAATTATTTTGATTAGCTGGGTGACTGTTAGCTTCTCAAAGACTTGCTCTATGAAGTTAGTCAAAGATTAACATGCCTACTAACTTAACTTTTACAGTTCAGCTTTTCAAATTAAAAAGATAGATTTTTCATGAAGTGTGGGATAAAAAAATCATACCATCTGAATCACCCCGATAATTTATCTTCAAATGCCAATGTGGTGGTAATGAAAAATACTAAAGTTGCCATGCAATATAAAAACACAGGAATTTGTATAATATCTCTTGAAAATATAACACTTCTACAAACTGTCTAAATTTGTGATGACCACAATACATGCTTTTAATTTGACTGTAACTAATGATTTGTTGTACTGAAGGTAAAAACTGGTTTGCTTGGAGACCACAGATATATGTACAGTTTTTTTCAAAACAACTGTCATATTTAAATTTAAATAAAAATTCAGTCTAATGTTGGATCACAATGGAGCAAGTAAAAAATATAAATTTGGTCAGTACATTCTATGACAATAAAATTGATAAGTGACTTGGAAGTAACAGTGGTATGCTAAATGTGTTATTCTCTTATGGAGTTTTCATTATCAAAAGATTGTTTCTTGAGATATATGTATATTCACATAGGCTCAGAACGCTGTTTGTTGCTGGAGAACATTGTGACTATGATACTACAGCCTGGGCAACAAAGATATTTGATGTAAGTACAATATATTTACTTTCTAGTTATTTCATGAAACCAGAGAAGAATGTTCCTGTAGATTTAGGTTCTTATGCATTCTTTGCATGAAATGGACACAATAGGACTGGTTATATCTGTCTGCCTGCATGATTCAACCTGAGAGGCCCTGGATGAATTCAGATAAAATTTAGTATGGACATTATGCCATTGGGGACTACACAAAAATCATATTTTTCAATTTTCAACAATCAATATTACCATCATGGCAGTCAGACAAACTTCTGAGGTGGAATTAACACTAGATCCACTTAGAACAGGGCCATACAATGATGTATGGTTATAGATTTTGGTGTAGTAATTCTTTTTATAATGTAAAACAAGGCGCTGGAGGGACTGATAAAAACAACAGAAATCTTCAATAATGATAAAGCTGTCTCCTAACTGAGATTTGAAGCCGGATATAACAAGCAGAAGTAAGAGTATTCCACAATTTTGGATACAAGATTCTGAGAGTCACAGTAATGTGAGTGACTGCTTGTAAAAATGATTGGAGGCATTTATGGGGCCCATTCAACTCTTACTGTTATACTAAAATTATGGTTGTGTTTCTTGTTTAGGTTCCAGTTTTAAACCATTGGTGGCAGACTGAAACGGGACACTCCATCACAGCATCATGTGTTGGCTTCGGCCATCCCATGAACCCTCCGAAATATGCTGCAGGCTTGCCCTTCATAGGATATGATGGTACATTAATAATAAACTACACACTTACTGTACAGTGTAATAGCAGAGGACAGCTGAAGCTTAGATAATGTATGAGCAAACCAACACTAAATTAAAAAACAATCGTCACTGGTCATTCCTTGCCAAACACTCGGTCTAAATTCAAACACATCATGTGGCTTACTATATGATATGGTGAAAAGTTTCTTAAGCAGTCACTATTTCTTAGTTACTTTGATATTTCTCCCACAGTGTTTCTGGTAGAAATTAGAGCTGTAATTGCATCTACCCTCTGAATATTATCGCATGCAGTGAAAATTGGAGAGCAGGTATTTGAGATCTCTGAACAGAGAAAGGGTATATGTATGCTAGTTACACATGGAATGACCATGAGTGCTTAACTGTAATGCTTTCTTGTATAGCTGTTGTGTCAGAAAATGGTGAAAAGAAGGCTGTGGTACATGTCTCCATTAAAGGCTCCACTTCCACAATAAACTTTACTGTACCACACACTTCCGCTGCTTCTGATGCTGAATGAGAAAACACATGAAAGAGCAACAGTGTTAGAGTATGACCTGTGGTTGCGCTACTGATCGCCCTCCATGTAGAAACATTCATAAAAGCAATGCTGTTTCATTAGCAGCATGACAAAGAGGAAAGCGGCTCAATCAAACTGAACTGAAAGATGAACTGGGCATGCTGCACAATGTAAAAGGTCTGATCTAAATGTGTGTATACTGTGGTTATGCCACCATGGTCACTCCATGTGTAACCAGCCTTACACTACTTCTACTCTTCCAGTGACAAATTTGTTATTTGAATGCTATTATTGTACCAACTCTTCTGTTCATAATTAACTGCCAATGTGATGGTTCTTAGCTGTTATATCCTTTTATACATACCTCACTACAGTGATGTTTAATTGCAGTTCATGTTCTGCGGCCGGACGGCACCGAAGCTGATCAAAATGAGATGGGATGTATTGTATGTAAACTCCCTCTACCTCCTGGCACAATGTCTACACTCTACAATGCCCCTGAAAGATTTTTACAAGTTTATTTTTCCAAATTTCCAGTAAGTCATTTCTATTTCTTCATAGTAATATAAACAGATTAGAACAATAAGTTCTGGGGAAAACTTTGAACACCTTCAAACAAGACAGTATTACTGATAATATGGTGACAGCAAGAACAAAAGAATTAATTATTATAAAATTTGGTGATCCATCAGTATAGATTCATGCCATGTTAAATTTACCAACTACAAAATCAATAACTCTCAATGTCACCATGTCCATGGTTAATATCACATAAAATGTGGTTTAGCGCAGAACATAATTATAGCCAATCTCCATACAAAATTTCTCCAATGGTTTATTTGTTATTCCTGCCATATCAAAAGCTACATTTACATTTGATGAAGACACCATTTTGTTGTTTAGATTCTACAGACAAATCTTTGGTGCTAAATAAGAATGGCTTGAGTCAGTAGAAATTACATTTGACATGAACCCTTCTTATAAACATCAACATACCGAACTCAAAACAGTACCCCAACAAATGTTTCATATTTTTATAAAAAAATTTAGCACACAAAAGCATCATCACCCTGCATTAAGTATAGCTAATGTCGTTCCCATCAAGTTCATATGGCTGTAGTGTCAGTATTACTGATGGTAAGAAAAAAATTACAGTAGCATATCTACCTTTGGTGACATAATGTTCACACCAGGCTTCATGAAAATACATCAGTTGGTTAAAACTTGGAATGGAATGCCACAACTGACTTTCCAATTTCAAGTTTCAAGTTTTAATTATTAAGTGGAATGGAATAAAAGAGTGAAGATTGCATTGGCATGGCAATATCTAATTCAATATGATCTAAGTAATTCAAATGTGTACTGTCATGACTAAGTAAGACTTGTAGCTTTCACGGCATCTAAAAGCAATGAGATCAGCCATGTACGTATGAAGACACAATTCAGTATTTCAAAGATTGTCTCTATCTCCACCAAACCTAACGGCCTACAGCCATTTGTTCTACACCACCAGACCATCTGCTGTAACCACTTCAATTAATCACGCAACATCAGAACTGACTTCAATTCAAGAAGAAGAAGAAAAAAAAAAGAACTTGCATATTTGCCTAAAAATAAACACATTTTCTGGACACTTATTTCATTCAGACTGATTGATTTCAGGGTTTCTATGACACAATGGATGCCGGATTCATTGATGAGCATGGCTATGTCTATGTGATGGCCCGTGATGATGATGTAATCAATGTGGCAGGTCATCGTCTTTCTACAGCTGCACTAGAAGATGTTGTGCTCAGTCATCCGGATGTAGTGGATGCAACTGTAGTAGGAGTCCCAGAGCCCACAAAGGGAGAGATACCATTATGTCTTTTTATCATGAAGGATGGTATGTCAACAACAATAATAATAATCCCGGGCGAACACAACATTAGGGAACTTCAGAAAACTGCCATTCTAGGGTCATCATACATCATTTGAAAGATGCTGATGTAAAATATATAGTCATCCCTCACAATACTTACTTTGACGACCTGTTCTTAACGTGCCTGAGCACTGCGGGTCCCAACTTTTCGTTGGCTTGATTTATAGACATTCGGTAGGACTCTTTGGACGAGGGATCGGCCCGTCGCAAGGCCTCTACCTATACACAGGACAGCACAACACAGAAAACATCGATGGCTTGAATAGGATTCGAACCCACGGTCCCAGCGACCAAGAGGTACAAGGCCCACGCCTCAGACCGCGCAGCCACTGTGACCCTCACAATAAAACTAGAGAATACATGTAACACGTATTAAAAACAAAATGTATTTCAGAAATAGCTGCTGCACTATGTACCTCAGGGGCAAGGTACGTCACGGGTACATAGAAGTAAATTATAGCACGTTGCTTCTGACAGATACCAAGTGTAGCGCCATTTTGAACGTGCTGTATAACACCACTAGCGGGAAGTGAATGAACTAAGCTCGAATAGATGCGGGAAGAATATATATATAAAGGAAAACTGTGGAATAGAAAAATTTTGTTTAATATGTGACATTACTTTTGGAGTCACCCCTGTAATAATAAAACAATGGTGTGGCAACCTGCAGCTAGAATCACTCTACATCATTTCTGTCCTACTACTTCCTCAAGGGCTCTTAGGCAAAAGCATTAGAAACACTCACTGACATGTTACATTTTATTTGTTCCAAAGGTTTATAACTCAAACATTCTATTCATGAATATGGCTATCTTCTGGGTTGTTGTGCCGTGTAGTCTGGTAAAAGTATACCGACATTCCAGAGGTCCTTGCTGCCTCCGTCATTGTCCCGATAATGGAGGCAGCAACGACCACAGAAACCCTGGTAAACTTCTACCAGACCACATGGTGCAACAACCTAAAAGACAGCCACCTTCGACATTTTATTCTGTTACACTAATCATAATATTTATCTTTTTGTAGATGTATCGTCAAGTTGTACTATTACTTCTGTATCAGTCGAATGGTATATGCCAAAATCAGTATTATTTTATAATATCTGTTCAATCAGGTGCAAGAAAAACAGAGCCGAACATTATCAAAGAGCTCATAAAAATGGTAAGGGAGTTGATAGGCCCCATTGCAGCTTTCCATGTTGCTGCAGCTGTCACAGGATTACCACGAACTCGGTCAGGAAAGACTGCACGGAAGTCGATTGCTGATCTTGCAAGGAATAAATTGGTCAAGGTAATTCCCTTCCCAACATTCTTAAAGTTATCTCATTCTGTGTTACTAACTTCTTTATGCTGATGCATCATATATTAATCTGAAAACTCATTACCCTGATGAAACTAGCAAGGACCTCTGAAACACTGGTAAATTTCTACCAGACTACATGGCACTACAACCCAGAAGACAGCCATAGAGCTCATGTAGTCATTGACAATTAGGTTCTGTAACAGTTTGCCTGTCATTATCAAAATTTTAGACACAATATAAATTTGGACAAAAATATTTCACACTAAATATTCTAATTTATCTATAACTCAAATCACAAGCCATAAATTCATACTATATATGTATGCTACATTACTAATGAGCATTAAATATTTAAGTGAGACTTGAAGTTCTCAAGGTAATGGTGATAGTGATGAATATACATTAGAATATTCTTAGAATATGTATTTAATTTTCTTTTCCTTCTCCTCTTCAGTATACCAACAGATATTCTGCTTACATTTTGTTAGTGATCAGGTTTTTATAATTTGTAACAGGTATGTTCTTCTCAGATACTATCTAGAAAGCCTTTTGCATTTCAGATGATTTTACTTTGGTTATGATTCAATATTTTCTGAAGCAGAGACATTTTCTGATGAAGGCAGGTTTCCATTCAATCCACATTTCATTGTATTATTATTTAGACTTAAAAGTTAAAAGTGGTACAACATTTCAACTGCAAATTCTCTTCTGTTCACAGATCTCAGGAACAATTGAGGATCCCACAGTGTATAAGGAAATCAAAGCAGTCCTTCAGAAACTAGGTTATGCTAAAATAGCACCAGATCCTCAGTGACAGATATTATGATGGATACTAGGACTAACATATAAATATACACCCACTACACTTACAAAGTTCCATTTAGCACGATAAAATAGTAAATGCAAGCATCCAATTGAATAAAGTATTAAGTGATTATTTTCTGCCAGGGGCTTCTTGCAGTTTATTCTAATTGCATGAAACAAAACATACTCAAACAAAAAGGTAAAAATGGAGGGATGGTTTTTCTTCTTCACTGCCCAATCTGAATGAAAACAACACATTAACCTTTACAGTGCTGTGAATCCTCTTTTGTTGATAATAATCACAATAGACACTGTGCTGGTATAAATATACTTTTTGTGATCTGTATAATAACTCTGTTTATTGTAATCTATATATTAAACTTCACTGTTTATCTATTAACAAATAAACATATGAGGTATCTAAATATCTCTGCAGTTCTCCTTTTCGATTCAGGGTACTCCACCATACATCTTCTCACAGGAGAAAAATTTACAAGAAATCTGGTGAAATAATTACGTGTATGGAAAAAGTGGAAAATAGTGACTGGCACATCATTACCACCATTCATTGTTGTTTCTACCACTCCATTCTTTTCTGTCCTCCATGTTCCTCTTCTATTTGCATTCATTACTTTTGAAATCTGTTTTGTATCACCCCTTACTTCATCCCTCCATACACTCTCAAAAGCATTTCTACTGACCACTCACCCCTATCTAGTGCCAAGGTTTGCAATGAGTAGAATAGGAGCTATACCTCCTCTCCTCCTAAGCACCTGCATGGCGCATATCAGGATATATTTTATGGTCACTGACAGAGTGCATCATGGGTGATGCAGTCACCAGTCACTGCAGAGGATAATCCTACACCTAGAAATTTTCAGAATCTGTCTGTTATCAACTGTAAAAATTAAAAATTACTTGTTTGGAGTAGCCTCCAATAGCATAACATCCACATCACTTGCACTTCTTGCAGTTGAGATCATTTCCCACAGAGGATCACGGATATGAAAAAAATCATCCTCCAAACTCATGGCTTTGAACATCTAGCATGTTGGTATTATTAATTTCATAAATTAAGGAGAACAAGTCTGATTAGAAGCCTCTAATGACATGCACACATACTACTACTTGTATCCTAATCATCATCCGAAAATCGTAATCATCTGCCATTTTCACACAACAAAGAAATATAGGTATAAGCATTATGCACTATCTTACATGTACAATATAATTTACTGGTATAACCTTCATACCAAAATTTCATGAAAATCTATTCAGTTATTCTTGAATTATAAAATGGCAGAACATATTATTAATAAGGCCACTGAAAGATGGCAGCACAATCTTGGCTGCAAGACATGACATACATAAGAGACCTACAAAGTCTTTGCTTATGACATGAGCATAAAGAACACCTAACAATGGAACTGTTAATTAACATGGTGTCACAATACATTCATTAACATATTTATAAAAAAGAATCACAGTTTTAAAAATCTGTAACAGAGTGAATAAAAATTAGTCTGATTCAGGTTTTTTTTTATATTTACCAATCTTTGTAACAACTGAAAGGAAAGTTTTGACACAGGGTTTTCAAACATATAGAACACAGTTAACTGAAAAGAAATTATAACATGTTTTATACTGGTAAAAATGAATAAAAGCCTTTTATTTTAAATTGGTATCATTTTAGTGTATATTTTCACTGATAATTGTAGTAAAAGTAAAGCTGTCCCACTATATACCATATAGGCACTTGGGGGGAGAGGTGGTATAGCTCCTACTCATTCTTAACCTCGGCAATAGATGGGGTGAATGGTTAGCATCACATCCCAGCCGCACTTTACCTGTGGGAAAGGACCCCCACACCCATTGGATAGGAGGCTGGGTAGGCCCCAGAGCCATTATGGAAGCAGAGGAGAGACGAAAAATCCTATGCCCCTGTCAGGGATCGAACCATGGTCGCCCAGTCTGTAGCCAGTCACTATACTGACTGAGCTACCCTGGCTCAGCTGATAACTCTTGTACAGATAAAAATTAATAATGCAATTTCTCTTGCCTGAATAAACTCACATTTATTTTGTTAGCATGAAAATACATACCACCTCATCTATTGTACAGGCTGTTCATCATAGCCCACTAAATCACTTTGTTTTTTGCTTCTTTGATGATTTCTTTCGAACAGGTGATGTTGACACATCTGATATTTCCATTTCCAAGTCTTTATCACTTTCTTTCCGTTTTACTGAATCCACCGAGGGAACACTAAACCCTAGGATCTACAATGGAAATAGTAAATAGTAAAAATATGTTAGTATAAAAGTAAGAACTCTCAGTTACAACTGAGTGTTTGTTATAATCAAATTCATGATGACAACTAAACCTCGCACAACAGAGTCCTGCTTGAGAAGTTAATAAGCATAAGGCAGAAGTGAGTATGCCTCACTCACAATACCCAAGGGACAATCTTTTGTCATTCCAGCAAAATGATAGTGAGCTGTCTCCGGAATTTCAATTCCAGTAATATTTTACAGTATTATCCACGCATCACACAACTGTGTATCTATCTTTTACTGCTACCACCAAAACACTGGCCTCAGTTCTGAGCTACTTCCACCCACCATCTCTCATTATCACAACCAATCTCCATAAAATCCATCTTAATGTTATACTCTTATCTCCATCTCGATCTTCAGAACCAACACTACTGACCGAAATCTATCACCCACAAACTAGCATATGCCAAATTTAACTTAGTATCTTAGACTTACCTGTCCTAACAACACTATGAAGTGACCTGTATAGGTCACAAAACTAAAAGTTAGTAATATCCTAAACTGTTCACTCACAGCATCATTCTTATGTACAGATATTTTCAGCACTTTTCTCCAGACACTTGTGTTCTTCCCTCAAAGTAAGAGACAAAATTAAACAAACATACAAAACAATTTGCAAGTAAATAAACAAATAAAAGTACACCTACCTGAGGGTTAACCAGCTTCATAATTATTTTCTCATGCTGCAAATTACTTTGATCTAAACTGAGTTGTACAGTAACTGGATCAAATGGTCGAAAACTTACATCACCACATTTCTGGGTTTGTTCCTATAAAAAAAGACAAAAATCATGTATGGTCAATTGTCTTATTTATAAATATCTATGAGAAGGGAATAAGTATAGAAATGAAGAAATAATAATTAAGACTAAATCCTCATTAATTTTGGTAGTTACACACCAGAGAATTCCTATGACAACATGAACAATAATAAACTTAATACCTTATGCAGAAAACAAATTAGGATCATGACCAGGAAAAAACAAGTTTTGATAAGGGCTTATAATGCCTGCTTACATTCAAGTGCCTCGACTGTATCATGAGGCTAGCAGGAACTGTACACGATAAGTTACATAATTAAATATACTTCATCCGTGTACATCACTTTCACTAGTACACATTCCAATTATATTAATTTTGACAGATATAACCTTACCTCAATGTTTTGTATTGGCACCATGTTTGTAATTAATAACATACAGTATAATTAATGTTTCATGCAGAACTGGTAGGTATGCTTTTGGCCTGTCTCTGTACAAAATACCACACGCCTAGTTCCAATGGTTTGTCAGTTACTACCTTCAAACCAAAACCTAAGCAAAGACTTCACTCAAGTGTCATGATGTACTTTTATAATCAGTAAAATTATTACCTTACAAAAGTTATTATTTTTCATATATCTAATTACTGGGGATATGAGCCGGGATAGCTCAGTCATTATAGTGACTAGCTACGGGCTGGATGACCGGGGTTCGATCCCTGATGGGGGCAGAGGATTTTTCCTCTAGCCTCTGCGTCCAGACCGGCTCTGGGGCCCACCCAGCCTCCTCTACAATGGGGCA